AATATCGTGCTGGCGCGACGCGGCACGACGCGATGTGACGCGTGTCACGGACGCGCGGAATTAACCCCACGTACGCGTATTCACGAGTGCCCCCTCCTCCCGCACCCTTGAAAGTATCAACGTCCACAATCAAAGGAAATGTCGGCTCCCAATTAGCGCGTTCATTCCGCGTATTCAGATAGCGATGGAACCAGTCAGAGTGTTTACTTGAAGAGCTCGTGGACCGACCAATCGCGGTTTACGAAATTGCTCGGTGCGCGAGCGTGTTGTCGCAACAATTGATCCGTGACAAGTCGAATTATGTAACGCAGAATTTTTCCTTCGCCGCGCGCGCCAATATCCGCTCCATAGAACGGCGTCGTGAAACGACACCGCTGTCGCCGCCGCCACTACTATCGCTACCACCACCACCACCACCACCACCACCACCACTCGATGATAACGCATACGTCGATCTCCGCGGCTTTTTCTTCCTTCCCACTTTTCTTAGATCATAATTTTTTCTATTTTTACATGATTTGTTGCGTATTATTATATCAGTACGAGGAGTTCATTGCACAGTACAAGAAAATCCTGAAAATATGCCTCCATTGAAGATTCCCTACAGGTTGCGCGTATTTTTTCCTTTTATAACATAATTTTCAATTGTAATTTTTTATACTATTTCTCATATCATTATATCCATTGAAGAAGTTCATTACGCGACGTAAGGATTTCTGGAAAGGACCTGGTAGAAATCTAATGCAGTTTTTGAATAGTTACTAGACAGTTATGTGAACTTTTGTGTAGCAACTACAGAGTGATTTGCTTGGGATCCCAATCTAGATATAACGCTTTTCTATCTTTTGTGCAGTTACTGTACACGAACGATGCACAAAATCAAATGAACCACTCATTGAACCAAAACCAGAACAGAAAATGAATAAAAAGTATTCAATTAATTGGTAATCAAGTCTACTGCTTATAAAATAGACAGTACTTTAGTAATATTTTATTTCCTGTGTATGCTTTCTAGTTGAAAAATTGTAATGCTAATGAAAGCCATAAAGCAAGAAATCTTTGGTGTGTAACATATATTCATGTTTTTCACTATTATCAACTGATGTGCTTTTATCCATTATTGTAGTTGTACTATTTTGTCAGGTTCTGAATCTGAGCTATTGTGATAGTTTTCTTCTGTATCATTGCCATCAGAATAGCCTGATGCGTTCTCATTGTAATGAAATTCTCTTTTATTAACATATACCCCATTTATTTTTTGGTCACTTTCTATCTTTAGTTGTTATCTCTGTCAGGGCTTAGTATTATCAAGCGCCTTATTTTCTCCTATTTTCTTTTTTGCTCTATGCTTTTCTGCTTATTCATTGTTCACGCAATTTTACAAACTCTTTTTAAACAATATAAATACATATTTTAAGAAATTTTTTCACGATACACATTATAAGCCTGCTTGAATCATTGAAGAAAATCTTATCGAGTTCTTATCCAGTTTCTACGCAGTATTCTTGCAACTAATGAGATTAGAATATATTAATACTAGACAATAACTGCGCAGCTGTCCACGCAAACTGCATACATTTCTATCAAGGTACACCCCTGTCGGGGATGTATTGCAGATTGCGCATATTCTCCGCGTCGGCGTCGCGTTAGCTAACTATCCCGCTGATCTTCAAGGTCACGTCACGTTCTTGGTCGACATCATCTATGGCCTGAGCTCGTCCAATTATGACACTCGCGCCCACAGCAAAACATTGTTATTATTCTTTATTCTCCCCCGCTATCTTGACGATCTTCGCCGACGCTCTAATCTCGTTCTCTGAATCCATTAGATACTGCAAACGCTATGAAGCTTAAAGAAAAGCCATAATTGGTCCATATGGCGCTCAAAGCATTTGCAACGTCTAATGGGTCGCACCTTCTGTCTCACTCGCGGCGCCGGCCGCGAGTTTCGTTCCTCCAGTCTCTCGTTATCAATTGCGTCATCGTACGGCGGAAACGTGTTCTCCGACGACCTTCGACGGTCGGATCGCGCCTTTCGAAACTACGTCGACGACAATGTGCGAGCGAGCAAGCACTTCCTAATGACTGGGGGCCCCCCGGACCGCAGGAGTCGACCGAGAGTCGACCGTCATTCAGGGACGCTGTCGTCATTTTCGCGTGATTTCGCCCGCCGGGAAGAAATTACACGGTGCTGCCGGCGTTCTCTGTTGACTCAGCTTGCGACCGCTTGCTCATTCACGCCGATGCGCTAATACGCTGCAGATAACACGCCGTCGCCAGCGGCTCTTCTCCAGATAGAGATATGCGAGCGCTTTGGTCGAGGACTTTGTTCCCTAAGAGCTCTCTCTCAGGTCGTGATCAACAGCAGGCCGTGTGAGAAGAGGTCGTGGTGAACGACATGCTCGGCCGAGGGGGAGCAGATCGCGCCGAATTCAGTGGCTCGCGATCGCTGCGCGGGAGGTAGAGCAATGAGAGGGCAACCCTGTGTCTCGTCACTCGCGATACATCTATCTGTCCTGCTCGCTCCCGCGGGTTAACGCGGGTCGATCTTTATCTAATAGAACATGTATAGAATGATCCATAAGACGCCTTTGCAAGTTGGCTCCCGAGATGCGTTCTCTCGTTTGAAAGCCGCCAACAAGGTCGATCCCTACGCGGAAGAGGAGTAATTTGTTCACCACTCACGTCTCCTGATCCCGCCTTCTTGGAATTCCCCGCGGGTTATTAGTTCCCCCTTGAGGCGCTTCCCGAGTCCGAAGATTAAGTGGCTCGAAAGTGTACTATTAACTTTAAATTGAAGTTATTTTTATAATTCTCAGATAAAGAGTCGCATGATAAAATTCGTGATTATGTCGCACTTGGACAAAATAATCGACGAGGAAGAGAGAGAGAGGGAGAGAGAGCGCTTATACGAGATTAGGTGCCACGTCACAATACCAAAACGCATTCGCGTACACGCTGCGGACCATCTGTTTTATAACATCGTTCACTTAGCCCCGTCTTCGGATCGAACGGCTTGGCACCAGTTCTCGGCCGCCAAGGAGGCAGCAAGGGGCCGTCGATGTGTACACGATGTACCAACTGCGTTATCATTGCTCCATGTGTTGGTGATGCACATGGAGGGGCGATATGGGCGATAGTGCGACTATATATAAGCCCGCGCATTCGTCACCGCCATCAGTTCGATCCTCTTCATGTTCTTCGTTCTCATAAACGGCGCTTCTGCGATACCAGTTAGTTAAGTCGTCGTCGTCTCTAATCTCGAGTATCCGCGCAATCGATCCTCCGGGAGCGGTGCTGCAATCGCTGATAAATAATCAGACGTCGCTACGACGTGCTACTGAGAAGAAGAAGTGTCGGAGAACACAGAGCCTAGTTGACGTGCGACTGCAACTCGAGCTCGGCGAAGTTCACCGTCGAGTCTCGCCCTCGAGCTTCGACCCGCGACCCTTCACCTTCTGCTTCCTCCTCCAGTTCAGCTTCTCTTCTCGACACGTCATTCTCAGAGTCATCGGTCAGCGGGCAACGCACAATTCAGGAAGGATGGGACTCTCTTAGCGTCCACGCTCCGGCACTCCCGCGATCTCGTCGAGCTCCCCGTTGAACTTTCCCGTGCGATCTCTCGTCGACCTCGAGGCGACGAGACGCATCAGAGCCGAGAGAGAGAAAGAGACAGATTATCCCTTGAATATTTTCTCGGCTCACCTCGCGTTTCCGTCAAAATAACACGCGCGCAGACTGTCTTCTGTAACGCGACGGCAGTGTCTTATGACTCGTGCGCTGCGCGCCGGCCCAGTTATGTTCTCGATCGAGTACAGCAAGCAATTCCTGAGCTACCGTATACTCAAGTCCAACCGGTTCAAATACATCTGACGATACGGACTCGGACTACGTGGTAAAGGGTGCGAGCGGGGTGGTGTGTGTGCGTGGTGCCGCGGACGACTTGTCGTACCTACGGTGCTCAGGAAGTCGGAGAGGACGGTGTCCTGGCAAGACCTGGAAAGTCTTGTGTCGGAGTCCAATGGTCGGCTGGCTCTCCACGGCGACGTGGGCTTGTTGAGGCAGTTCGGCGTCGTCGAGATTCGTTAATAAGGCGAAGCTTTCGATTTTCCTCTGCGTGTTTGAGAGAGAAGCAGAGGGAAAATATCGTCTTCGAGCAAAGTTAAATCGAGCAGTTGGTTGTTATTAATTCAAATTCAATACGAGAGAGCGTGGGTGTTTGTCATTAAAGGATCTCAAGTGAAATTCACAAGGAGGATTCATTAAAATTTCATCGCAAACTCGTCTTAGGGACGGAAGGGTTATTTTGTATAGCGCCGATTTCTTTGTCGTTGAGGGAGCTCTAATCGGGAAAGTCACCCGGACATCATCGGGTACCAGCGTTCATTAACGAAACGGAGGGTCTTGGCGGTCGAAGGGCCGTCGGAGTCAGGCCTGCGATTCACCTAGGCGACATCGCTCGGGAGTCAGGATACGCCTGTAATATCGGCTCGTGAATGATCATTAAAAGCGAGCATCAAGCGGCAGGATCAGAGCGGAAAGCGAAATCACTCGGAAATTCCGAGCGAACGGGAGAAAGAGATAGAGAAAGAGTGAGAGGGGAACAGAGAGGGGCACACACGGAGACGCGTCTATACTGACTTTTCGCGGCGGTATATACACATACACACATATAAATATATATGTATATATATATATATATATGCATATACATATCTATGCGCGTATAATCAAGCCGCATAAAACGCAAATTAAAGGGAGTCTTACTAATTAAAGCGAGCGCTCGAGCGAAATCTGCACGTCTTTGGTCAAATCGGTGAGGTCGGTATAAAGTCGTCGATAGAGAGGAGAACAGAGAGAGAGAGAGAGAGAGAGAGAGAGAGAGAGAGAGAGAGAGAGAG